CTTTTCTGTTTAAACTGTTGTTTGAATGTTTTCTGTAGTAGTCAGTTAAATTTTGACCAAAAACAATTTGGAATTTGTCATGTTTTCAACCCGAGTTTTGTGCATATAAAATTGGGAAGTTTAATTCAGACTCCCTGCAACTCACCATTTGCCTCTGTTCTTTGGATAGGACTGAAATTAAAAAATCTGCATCTAGCCCATGCCAGCTAACTTGGGTTCAGGCTAAAAGGTGAATGTAGTTGCTGTGTAAACTTTTGAGCTCAGGCTGAAGCCTGGGCTTTAAGACCTTGTGGGAAGGGAGGGTCTGTGAAGTTGGGCTTTAGTTTAAGCCAGAATTTTTACACTGTAATTAAATAACATCTCTGTCTGAGTCCTGCAAGGCTAAGCCCTCTGGTACAGTAGGGTAGACACACCTTTAAGTCAGAAGTACTCAGGTGTGGAGACTGGATATGACCCTTGGCTTGCTTGGATCTGGCTCCCAAGGTTCAGGACTCCATCCCCCCAGTTGTGGGAAGCCTATGCTGGCACTCCAGCTCTCCTGTAATCCCCCTATAGAGTTGGAGCACACAAAATCTACTAGTCTGGGCCCCTTCGGTTCTGGTGTGCAGGGGAAATGGGGGGAGTGTATTTCTCCTTCTCCGTTGGGTGCCATGTGAGTGAGGGTTGTTGGTTTTTTTGCTTCTCTTTTGTGTGTGGCTTTTGATTTTTTGGGTGTCCCATAAAAGGTTTCCCACCCCTGCCTTGAGTAGATGTGGCCTAAGGAATTTTTATAAACATGCATCCAAGCACATTCAAGATGGGATCTATAATCTGTTTGTGTGTTTCTGTATGGGCCAAACCCTGTAATCAGTTCATTATTTTGGCCAGAAAGTGTTGTCTTTTCCAGATCTGCTCATTTATTTCTTCTCCGCTGTGTACATATAAGTTCTCCAAGAAGTATTGGGAAGTTTTTATTTAATATGCTTATTATTAATGGTCCAAACCTACAGATAATTGATGGGAAAGGATTTGAAAGGGGTTCCTTACCTGTCCGGGGCCTGCTCTGACCACTGGGCTTACGTAGTCATACTCACAGTGTTTTTGGCCTGATGCATAATAAATTATTTGTATAAAGTAGATTGGCTTCACTAAGAGTGAGTGAGAAAGAAACCCACATCAGAATGAGGGTAGTTCAGTGTTTTAGGTGCTCTCCTGAAAGAAAGGAACCTTCTGTTCACGTTTCTTTGCATCACCAAGCAAGAGGAGGAACTCAATCAGAATTTCTCACATTCTGGGTTAATATCCAAACCACTGGGATAACAGTTACTAGGAATGATGTTTTCCTGCCCACCGTAGGGAAGTTCTGAGTGGAGTTACAAAATAAAGCTAGGACAAGGCCCATCTTCCTGCAGTTTGAAGATCCTCTGTGGGAAAAGCATGACAGAGGTAGCTGGTTGCCTGCCTGAAGTAGCCCTATGCAGCTTCAGGTGCAGAAATTTAGGTAGTTTGGGAACTTGTACAACTGAAATTTCATCACTTAGAGATGTTAGGCACCTATTTAGCTGAGTGGAGGCTTTTTTGGATCACAGTAGTGCCTCTGTAGGGGCTGTAGGCATGTGAGTCTGGGCAATGTGGGTTAGTGCCCATGGAGGATTTTGCTAGGGGCTGTACATACACAAACCCTGCCTCAAGAAGTTACAAACTAAAAGGACAAGGCAGAGGGGGGGGGGGGGG